TTTTTTTATTGTAAATAATATTTAATTTAAGCTTAAATATATTTATAAAGATTATATATAATTCTATATCTATTCAGTACATAATTTGGTATTTATTCTGTATTAAAATAATTTTGTATCTAGTTAATATAACAGTTTAATATTTATTTTGTATTAAAAATAATTTCATATCTATCTAGTATAATAATTCAGCATTTATTTTGTATCAAAAATAATTTTATATCTATTTAGTATAACAATTTAGCATTCATTCTATATCAAAAATAATTCTGTATCTATTCAGTATAATAATTTAGCATTCATTCTGTATCAAAAATGATTCCGTATCTATTCATTATAACAATTCAGCATTTATTCTGTATTAAAAATGATTCCATATCTATTTAGTATAATAATTTAGCATTCATTCTGTATTAAAAATGATTTCGTATCTATCTAGTATAATAATTCAGTATTCATTTTGTATCAAAAATAATTCTGTATCTATTTAGTATAATAATTTAGCATTTATTTTGTATCAAAAATGATTTTATATCTATCCAGTATAATAATTTAGCATTCATTCTGTATCAAAAATGATTCTGTATCTATTCAGTATAACAATTCAATATATATTTTGTATCATAAATGATTCCATATCTATTCAATATAATAATTTAATATTAATTTATTATATAAACTTATTATTTAGTATATATATATTATATTATGTATATTATTTGTAATTTCCTTTATTATTTTTGTATATATTTTTTTTATAGAGACTACAGCAAAGACTATTTGTGATTTTCATACTAAATTACCATATTTTTGTATAAAAATGCACAGGTGTGTAATTTCAAATTTTGGCTTAATTTGGGCCAAAATTCGAAATAATGCTCATGGGTATTATTATGCGAATTATAGTATCATTGCTTGGACCAATCAAAATAGTATGAAATAATTGATCAATCAAATAAATTCCTGATTTACAAAATTTTGGGATTAATAGAATTCAAGAAATATGTTATAAAGTATGAGCTTCTATTTTGTTTACATTTCTTAGAAAGGATAAGGACAAAAACCTTTCAAAAAAGTATTGTAAAATAATATAAAAAAATTCATTATCAACTGTGTAAACATCTACTGTCTCTGCTGTAAGAAACAACTAGCTATGATGAAAATTTTTTCTGAGAATGAGCAAATAAATGAAAATTTATAATATTATTTCCTACTATATTGATTATTGAGCCTTTTCAAATTAGTGTGATCGGCAAATGATCGCAAAAATCTTAAATTCATCATTTTTTAAAAAACTATCATACAAAAAGTCACAATTCCAAAGATTTCTTGTCAAATTCTAAATTCTTTAATATAACATCAATTAGTATACTAGATCTTGTTTTGTTTAGCCAAATGGTTATAAAAATATCCTAATTTTCTTTATAATTATTAGATCGCTAGTATTGAAAATTAAAATTGGTTCAAAATAATTAATAAATAAGGTAGTTGCGAGATGCTATTGCACTAAAAGCTAAAAACATAAACAACAATATTCTACAATTTAACAAAGTGTATAGTTATATCACAAATTAACAAAATCCTATATTTTATTTAATAAAAATATCTCAGGAATTATGAAAACAGCTATAATAAAAAAATTTTCTGAATGATTTTTTGGCTGATTTGATTAAGTTATTGATTTCGGTAATGACTAGTATATATTTTTACATGTAAGATAATTTTATCATTATAAGGTTAATGCTGTCACACTAAAATCAGGAATGTAGACAACGATATTTATAATTATATATACCAATTCTTATATTATATGTATCATAAAGCTTTTGATTAGGTTTATCGTTATAACCTAATCTTAAAAACTTCTTCATTTATTTTGTTACAATATAGAGAGTTTCGCATTATGATTTCATTAACTGACTTAGTTTGTAAATCATGTAGAGCAGTTTTAGAAAATATATAAATCGCTAAATTGATATGAATAAATTGAATATAAATGAAAGATTTAATAGTATTATAACTAAAAATAGGTGGTCTGCAAATTAATAATTATATATGATTACAGTCAAGGAATATACCAAATTAGTATATCAGATTCTAAAATGATCTATGCAGATCTGATTGGCTTTTGTGCACCTTCTTGTTAGCATTTTCAGAATTTTTTTACATATTTAATTTATTACTAGAAACTCCTGAATAAAAGCATTAATAGATAGTAAAAGACATATAGTTTAAATAATCCGTAGTAATCCACTCTAGTTAACTCTTATTAAAAAAGTAAATAAGACTTAAAATATTTAAAAATTTTTTGTTTATTTAAAAGGTTAGCAGGTAAAACTCAAGAACTTTATTAGAGTTTTACCAGTTAGATCAGGCTATAGATCAAAGAAACCTCATAGTTTTTCAATATTCTTTATTCATATTGGTTTTATATACAAGCATTACTTACTATTCAACTTTTAAGATTATTCAAATTATAGATCCTTCAAGCCTTTGAATTTCGTCTAGGCATTCTCAAGTATCCTAATCAATAGATTAAAATATGTTAGAAATATGTTTATAGTTTAATTCTAATTAGTGAAAAACATTTTTAATTGATTGAACATGCTTGTAATTAAGGTAAATAAAGATATAAAACTCGTTACTTATTACAATAAAGATAAATTTTAGTGGTAAAAATGTTTAATAAATTTATTATTGCTATCAATTCTGTTCAAATTCTAGACGTTAAGATCTTAAATCTAATTTATATTTACCTAAATCAATTTTAGGATGCAGTAAAACAACTCATAATTGTTGTGTAGAAAATATAAGCTGAATCTCTCATACTGTATAGCCTCGAATCTAGAATCAGAAACTCTTACAGAGATTTACACAGTGAAATATTTTGCAAATTTATTGCATAGCACATATATCACTGATTTTAGACTTCTAAAAAATAAAAGAAGAAAACATTTGTGAAATTCTGGCACATACAAATGCTGCCAAAGAAAAGACACTTCGGACTTTTAATTATATTTTGTATTGGATACAATCAATAATAAATTAGATAGATTGTATATAGTACGAAATATAATTGAATATTCATAGTATCTTTTCTCTTGGCAGCACTCATATAGCACCTGAAGTTTTAGTGGGTCAACCGTATACTTAGACATCAGATATTTCCAGTCTTGGAGTTATAGTAACTAAGATTTCAACTAGCACTTGACAGAATTCTGTTTAATGATTATCTTGTACCAAGAATTATCGATAGTTTTATTAAAAAACTACTGTAATACTGAGCAAATTTTGATAATACTGTGTACTATTTTGATCATAAGAAATTGCATTTCCTGGGGCTGGTCTTTAGATAAGTACTGGCTTTTTTTTTTTCTTTGCTGATTGTTTTTTTTTTCACTGGTACTAATTTTCTCTTCCTTTAGGTATTTCTTTGTTTGAAACCAGAGCTAAGAATATGAAATGGAACCAGGCCGAAGTACTGGTATTTTTTTTTTTGCTAGTTTTTTTTTTTGTTGGTTTGGTTTTTTTTAACTTCTTTCTTTCTTTGGGTGCTTCTTCGTTTGTTATTAGGAGAAATAGGTGCCAAGCTTCGCTTTTACAACTTTGTTGTGTTGTTTCAGATAAGTATTACGAAATAGGGCTAAGACCAGTCTTTGAATAAGTATCAGACCAGTTTTTTTTTTACTATTTTGTTTTTTTGTTACGTGTATTAACTTCTCTTTTTCTTTAGGTGTTTCTCATTTCTTGTGTTTGTGCTTGGTGCTTTCTTGTATCGGTGCTTTGGTGCTTTCTTGCTTCTCTGCTTCAGTGCTTTCTTGCTTCTCTGCTTTAATGCTTTCTTGCTTCTCTACTTCAGTGCTTTCTTGTATCTGTGCTTTGGTGCTTTCTTGCTTCTTTGCTTTGGTGCTTTTTTTCTTCTCTGCTTCAGTGCTTTCTTGCTTCTCTGCTTTAGTACTTCTTGAGTACTTTGGTGCTTTCTTGCATCTGTGCTTCGGTGCTTTCTTGCTTCTCTGCTTCAGTGCTTTCTTGCTTCTCTGCTTCAGTGCTTTCTTGCTTCTCTGCTTCAGTGCTTTCTTGCTTCTCTGCTTCAGTACATTCTTGCGTACTTTGGTGCTTTCTTGCGTACTTTCTTGCATCTGTGCTTCAGTGCTTTCTTGCATCTGTGCTTCAGTGCTTTCTTGCTTCTTTGCTTTGGTGCTTCTTGCTTCTCTGCTTTGGTACTTCTTGCATACTTTGGTGCTTTCTTGCGTCTGTGCTTCAGTGCTTTTTACTTCATTGCTTCGATGCTTTCTTGCTTCTCTGCTTCAGTGCTTTCTTGCTTCTCTGCTTCATTGCATTCTTGTATACTTTGGTGCTTTCTTGTGTATTTTGATGCTTTCTTGCGTCTGTGCTTCAGTGCTTTCTTGCTTCTCTGCTTTAGTGCTTCTTGCTTTTCTGCTTCAGTGCTTCTTGCTTCTCTGCTTCAGTGCTTCTTGCATGATTTGGTGCTTTCTTGTGTCTGTGCTTTGGTGCTTTTTGCTTCTCTGCTTCGGTGCTTCTTGCGTCTTAACGTTGGTGATTTTGCAGTTTTGATTAGAATTTTTTTTTTATTTTTTTAAATAAAGTGCGAAGTTGGCACTAGATATATAGAGGCTATGATATTATTATGCAGTAATACTGTTTAACGAAAATAAATTAAATTGATGTATAGTTGATTTTTTTAAAAAATAAAAAATTTCAGGGTTTCTCAATGATAGATTCACCCTTTTTTTTTGTTATTCGTTTTGCTATGTAATATTTTCAGGGCGGTCAACTGATCAAAATCGGTCTCATGTGTCACATGTTCACCAATTTGCTCTTCGTAAATTGGTGGTCACATGACTCACATGATCGATTTTGATTGGTCGATTGTGGAGTCACCATGGTGATGGGTCACTATAAAATAATGCCCTATTTTAAATATAAATTTATTATATTAATTTAATATTTAATATTATTTTTACTATATTTTTATTATATTTTTATTATATTTTTACAATATATTTATTATATAAAATTATTTTTCACGATTCTAATATAATAATCATATGATAATTATATAATTACCATCTACAAAAGCATAGTCTTACAAGTGACTTAACAGTTTTTTAAATATTTTTATTATATATTTGTTATATATTAGTAATATATTAATCATATATCTATCATATTTTATACTTATAATATTTTTATTATATAATAATTATATAACTATTATATGATAATTATATTTGTTAAAAACTACAGATTTTTGTAAAAAAGCTAAAATATACTAACAATAATACAATACCAACTAATAAATGAGAGTCCAAGTTAGAAGTTAATATAAATTAGATATGCTTTTTAGTAATATGATACAAGACCTATAGTTGGAAGTAGAACCCAGGTTTGTCTTGATCTTATAAAATATAGTTTTGGTAATATAGTAAATACAAATAGATTAGTTAATACCACTATATCAGAAAAAAATATTAAGTTCTAGGTTGGCAAGCTAGCAGTGGCAGCAAAACTTGGCTTAAAATATAGGTTAATAATACCTAAGCAGATAAGTAGAAGAGTCTCTGCCAATTGGCATATTTAGCAATATAATACTAACTCTGTTATATAGTAAACTTAACTAGGTAGCAAGTTCTTGGCTTAAGATACAAGCTGTAGAAAAGTCATTTGTACTAATTATAGTTGTACTAATAGAATCTGTAAGATTATTTGCAGTGAATTATATTTGCAATTATACCAAAATTAGAAGCTTATTAGGAGCAGATGCCTGATATACCAAATTAGAAGTTATAACAAGTAATAATAAAATATGAAAAAAATATATAGTACTAGAAATAGTTTGATACATATAAAGAATATAGACCATTCTAATAGATTTAGATTGTAGATAAATTAGTTTAAGTCTCTGTAATTTAGCATTAATATATATGTAAGATTTGTCAATAAATATATATTAATAAAAACCTGAAGTATAATCTCATTTTGATATTAAAAAAAAATTTGATTTCTGTACTTTCATTTAATATTTTTTTGATTCTAACATTTTTTCAATTTGTTTTTTTTATCTTAGTTTTTTTTTTATTTTAATTTTTTTTTATTTTTTTTCAACTTTAATCTTTTTATTGATTTTGGTTTTTTTTCAATCTTAAATTTTTTTTATTTGTTTTTTTTTTGATCTTTAGTTTTTTTTAATTGATTAGTTTTTTTACTAATGTTTTCTTCCTCTTTTATAAGTTTTGTGCTTTGTCAAGAAAGTTAATAGAGCTGGGTTTAAGATTTTAATTTAGAACTAGTATCAAGATAAGTACTAGTGCTTTTTTTTTTTACTTGCAGTTTTTATTTTTTTACTATTTTTTTCTTATAGATTAGTAGATCTTGAAACATGTTATAAATATAGATCTGAACCTGAAACTAGTATAAAAGCTAAATACCAGTATTTTTTTTTTGTTACTTTTTGCAGTTTTTCATTTTTCTAACTTTTTCTTTCTTGTAGATTTGTAGATCTTAAAAATATATTAAAAATAGAGATCTAGATCTAGAACTAATATAAAAGATAAGTATCTATATTATTATTTTTTTGTTACTTCTTGTAGTTCTTATTTTTTTAATCTTTCTTTCTTGTAGATTTATGAATCTTGAAAACATGTTGGAAATAAAAATCTAGACCCAGAATTAGAACAAAAGCTAAATACTAGTTTTTTTTGTTAGTTGCAATTTTTAGTTTTTTTAACCTTTTTTTCTTGTAGGTTTGTAGATTTTGAAAAAGCATTGTAAGCAAATAGAAATCTAGGCCCAGAACTGGTACAAAAGCTAAGTATCAGTATTTTTTTTACTTCTTGCAGTTTTTCATTATTTTAATTTTTTTTTCTTATAGGTTTGTGGATCTTGAAAATATGTTGTGAGCAAATAGATATCTAGACTCAGAACTAGTACAAAAGCTAAGTACTAGTTTTTTTTCATGTTACTTCTTGCAGTTTTTTATTCTTCTAACCTTTTCTTTTTATAGATTTGTAGATCTTGAAAATGTATCATGAGTAAATAGAGATCTGAATCTAGAACTAGTACAAAAGCTAAATATTAGTATTTTTTTTTCTTGTTACTTCTTGAAGTTTTTTGTTCTTCTAATCTTTTCTTTTTTGTAGGTTTGTGGATCTTAAAAATGTGTTATAAGTGAATAGAGATCTGAACCCAAAACTAGTACAAAAGATAAGAGGAGGGACAGAAATCAGGTAATTTCAATTTACTAAGAGACTATACCTAGGATTAGTAAAGTCCTTAGGTCTGGGACTTTAGGACCAGGACTTTGGACCAAATTTTTAAAGACCAGGTCATGATTTTAGGACCTAAGTCCATAGATCCTTAAAAAAATCCTAATATAAAAAAAATATAATACATAGTATATATGTATGTATAGTACATATGTATTTATGTACATACATCTATATACAATACACAAAGTTCAATTCGTGATTTGATTGGCCAGATATTTTAATTGGCTTGTCAATTTCTGTACACATTGTTAGCACATAAATCTATGTTTTTGGTTGCATGTCTACTTGCATATGAGAATACGTATAGCTGATTATACATATGTATAGCGAAGCGAAACAAACATATAATTACAGAAACAAAAAAAAAGCTAATTATTCAAAAGCTAAAAAAATATATTTATTTGGCTTTACGTCTCTAAGAATTATGAATACTATAATAAACAATGGTAAAAGCATGATTTTATATATAAATATTGATAACTTGATGCATATTTGCTTATCTATTCTCTGATTTTTAGCAATTTCTATTTTTCTTTTTAGGATTTTTTATTGGGTTGATGAAATGATAATCACTGATCATCAAAGATGAGAGCGAAAGAATTT